CAATGTGCTGTGCTTGGCAATGTGCTGCGTGTTTGGTATTATGCTGTGCTTGGCGATGTACTGTGCTTGGCAATGTGCTGTGCTTGGCGATGTGCTGTGCTTGGCAATGTGCTGCGTGTTTGGTATTATGCTGTGCTTGGCGATGTGCCGTGCTTGGCAATGTGCTGCGTGTTTGGCGATGTGCTGCGTGTGACAGGTCGACAATCCCTCCGGTGGAAAAGCAACATGAAACGTACCTTCGTCTGAAAGACAAGCCGCTGCAAGGCAAGGCGACATGGTGTGTGGTGTCGGCGCCATGGATGGAGGCCTTTGTCGCCCACGTGGCATCAGGCGCTCCCCATCCAGGCCCTATCAGTAACGATCATCTTGTTGCGGTCGAAGACGGTGACGAGGATGCTGAGACTCCGGGCGAGGAGAACCAGGGCTTGGCGGGCAACATCGATGCCACCGAGAACACGGCCGGGAAAGACAAAGGGAAGGAGGAGGACGACGGCGATGGTGAGGAGACAAAGTCCGTGGACAGCGGCGGTGGCGGCAAGGGTGTGGCTGCGCTGCCGCGGTCGATGGAGGAGTTGGAGAAGGAGGCGCTGGAGCCACCGCGGCTGCGGAAGGACATTCGTGCAGACGTCGACTACGTCCTTGTGCCGCAAGAGCTGTATGCCAACCTCGAGGCGTGGTACGGCGGCGGGCCGCAGTTGGCACGGCAGGTAGTGGCGGTAGGCCAGCGGCGCGAGCTGCGTGTGGACCTCTACCCGGTCACGGTCTACACGCTGAGGTGGAGCGCGACAAGCAAGTGCATTGACGTCAAGTCTGTGCATAAGATCTGGGTCTCGACCTACCTCACCTTTGTCATGTTCCGGCTTGACGCGTGTGCCGGCTACTCGACCCCGCCGTACTCGACGCGGTTCTGGCTCATGCCGGACCTTAACGCGCCGGTGAGCGAGTACCGGATGGTGGAGAAAGACGAGATGAAGCTCTTGCTGGGCGATCTTGGCGTGCAGGACGAGACCATCTTTCTTATCGAGACCCAGGACTCGGACAAGAAGTGGCCGCTTGATAGAGTGCGGAGCAGTGCGGCTGGCGCAGCACCAGCAGCGACGGCGCCGGCCTCTGCAGTCTCAGCTGGTGCGACGTCCCGGAGCTGGGCGACGTCCGGTGTGGAGACGTCGCGGGCAGCCGAGGCCGGGCGGGCGCTGCGGACGGGCGCAGGTGCAACACGGACCTCGGCGTGGTCGCGGACGAGCTACGGATCGCGGCCGGGCAAGCCGCCGGTCCGCGGTGCGACCGGGCTTTCGAACCTGGGCAACACGTGCTTTATGAACTCGGCGCTGCAGTGCCTCTCGAACACGACGGTCCTCACCGAGTACTTTCTCTCGGGTGCGTACACCGACGACGTCAACACGACTAACCCGCTGGGGATGGAGGGCAAGCTCGCGACGGTGTACGCCGAGCTGGTGCGCGACCTGTGGTCCGGGCAGTACACCTCGGTCTCACCGACGCGGTTCAAGGCGCTGATCGGCAAGTTTGCACCGCAGTTTTCGGGCTTTCAGCAGCACGACTCGCAGGAGCTACTCGGCTTTCTGCTCGACGGTCTCCATGAGGACCTCAACCGGGTGCTGGACAAGCCGCCGACAGAGAAGCTCGAGTCAGATGGACGGCCCGATGCCGAGGTTGCGGCCGAAGCTTGGGAGCGGCATCTCCTGCGAAACAAGTCGTTCATTGTCGACACCTTTCAGGCGCAGTTCAAGTCGACGGTGGTGTGTCCGGCCGAGGGTTGTGGGCGGGTCTCGATCACCTTTGACCCGTATCTCTACCTCCAGCTCCCGCTCCCGGTCAAGAACTCGAAGCTTGTGCACGCTGTCGTCTCATCGCTCGACAAGCCAGCGATCAAGGTCGCGGTCCAGGTCTCTGTCCACAGCACGCTTGCCGACGTTCGCCAGCAGCTGGCCGAAACGCTGGACATCGAGAGTGGGCGACTCGTCTTTGCCGACGTGTACGGCTCGCGGATGCTCAACACACTCCCGCCGTGGCGGCCGGTGCGACAGATGCGCGACGGAGTGGTCCAGCGGGTCTTCCTCGTCTCTCACGAGGTGGCCGACCCAGTCAAGCCGGTCTACACCGCCACCTCGTACTACACCCGCGGCGGTGCGGCGGCCAAGGCCAAGGCCGCAGCGGCAAAGGCGGCGGCAGAGGCCGACGCTCCGGACGCAGCACCGGCGCCGCCCGCGGCGGCCATTGTCCAGGTCATCCAGCGGCGCAAGATCAAGTCGGCGTACCAGCCGTCGCGGACGGTGACGACCTACCGCATGGGCCTCTTTGGCCTCCCGCTTGTCTTTACCTACCTCGACGGCACGCTGACAAACGCCCAGCTGCGGGCACAGGTGGTCAATGCGGTGCGGACCAAGGCGTGCGTCAGCGATCCGGGCGCCGAGTTGTTTGACGCTGTGGACGCCGAGGGCAACAGGCTGGTCTCGCTCGTTCTAGTCTCGTCGACCGGGACGGTGTGCGCGCTGTGTCCGTCAAAGGCGCGGTGCTCCGGGTGCGAGATCCCAGATGACGAGACGCTGGCCAGCGTTGACCTGCTCGCGCGCTCGTCGGTGGCGGTCCACTGGAGTGCTGCCGCGCTGGAGAAGGCGCAGGTCATCGGAGTGGCGGCCGGAACGGCGACGGCGACAGGCGCCGTCATTGAGCGCGATCTTGAGGAGCACCCATCGGTGAAGGAGCTCAAGGCCGCCAGCAAGACGGAGGTCAACCTCGCGTCATGCCTCGAGGCGTTTGCCAAGGAGGAGACGCTCTCCGAGGATGACATGTGGTACTGCTCAAAGTGCAGCGAGTTCCGGCAGGCGCGTAAGAAGATGGAGGTCTGGTCGACACCCAAGATCCTTGTTATCCAGCTCAAGCGGTTCACCTTCTCGTCGCGCATTCGCGAGAAGATCTCATGCGTTGTCGACTTTCCGCTCGAGGGTCTTGACATGGCACCATACGTCATGGACTCTAGCTCGGGCGGGATCTACGACCTCTTTGCCGTCTCGCGCCACTCGGGCGGCCTCGGTGGCGGCCACTACACCGCTGTCGCCCGCTCGGCCGAGGACGGTGAGTGGTACCTGTGCAACGACTCGCACGTCTCCAGGACCTCTGCTGACCGCGTCGTCGATCCCTCGGCGTACCTTCTGTTCTACGTCCGGCGCGATGAGTAGGGCTTCCATCGCCCCTCCACGTAAAAAAACTCCGCCCCAACCTTTTGCAAGCAGAGACGGTGGCGTGCGCACCTGACACGGGCCGTGGCGCAGGGAGGGGAAGGGAGAGTCAGCAAGCCATACTCACCTCGAGGGAGATCGAACGACGATGAAGGTGCCGGACAATGACGAGTTCTGGCGTGTGGCGACGCCGCTTGTGGAGAGCGGGCGAGCGGTGGAGGGCACGCTGATGCGGCAGCGGTGCCTCCGTGCGGCGAGCAACGATGAGTTTGCCGCCGCTGCGCATTACGAGGACTCGGGAATGGTGATCAAGCTACCGGCCGATGACGTGGCGGCTGCCATCGAGGCCGGCGTGGGCAAGGCCTTCTCCATCAAGACCGGATCGGTGTTCAAGGAATGGCTCTGGGTCACCCTCCCCTCGTCCGAGTGGCTCCCGTGGCTGGAGAAGGCACTGGCGTACGCGGAGATCAAACCTAAGAAGAGGCCCAAGGCGACCAAGAAGAAGGAGAAGAAGCCCAAGACGACCAAGAAAGAGTCCAAGGTCACATCGAAGGCGGCGACCATCAAGCCACGTGGACGTGCCCAGCGGGGCGGAGGCGACGATGGCAAGGTTGGTGCAAGGGCGCGGTCGCGATCGCGGACTCGGAGCTCGTAGCGAAATCGGGGAGCGGGGGAGGCTTTGGGAAGTAAACACGGTGACGTGTGGGGTGATCATGGTGGTCAGCCCCAGATCAGCCTGCAGATCAGCGTGGGCATGAGAGAGGACAGGGGGAGGTGCGGCGAGATGTAAACAACAGGTTTAGCATCTACACACAGTAGACTCACCGGCCGTCCCAAGAGGAGGGAACGGCGGCAGTGTGGCAGAGTGGCGACCGTTAGAAGAACTTGCCCTTGCCCGGATCAGCAGGCGGAGCTTGAGCGATATTGAGTCTCTTCTTGTCTGTGGCATACGACGATCCGGCCTGTGATCTCGGATCTGCATCGCCTGAGAAGCACTCTTGGTGGTAGCGGAGCTGTATGCGTGCGCCGTGGCGGATGATGTACTTTGAGCCCTTTGTGATGTACGCCTTGCACTCTCGGCAGAGATGCCGTGTGCCCTCGGCTACCCGTCCTCGCTCGATCCGCCAGTATGACGACCGTCCTCGTCCGAGTGTAGACACGCCGGGCTCGCTGTAGTCAGCCATGATGCATGCGTCGTCTTGACTCGGTGTATGATGCCAAGTCGTGGCTGTTTGACGTGGCTCGGTCGAGGTGGTGGTGGCTCTGGGTGGCTTTGGGGGGTGGGGGGGAGAGAGAAGGGCGACGGGCGACGGGCGACGGGGAAGGAGTGGGGGTGGGGGAGGGAGGGGGGGGGGGGGGGGGGGGGGTGCACATACTCGCTTGCCGGCCTTGCGATCGCTCGGCTGACTGGACAGTGATTCCGAGAAAGACTCGCCGTCGAGGTGAACGTGCGAGTTGCGGGAGCGCGCGTATTACGCCACGCCAGTGGCGACGGACGCTTCCACTACAAAGGCGGCGGCTGCGAGCGACCATGTCACTGCCGAGTTCTGGCCCGACGGCAACGATCCGCCTGTGCTGGCGGCGGCGTCAGGGCCGGGACTAGCCATCGGCGCGTCGGCAGCCACCATGCGACCCACGGCCGACTCCACCGACCCGGGTGCGGCTTTGACGGTCACATAGAGCGGAACCGACAGCAGCGACCGGTACTAGTGCACGGGCTTCAAGCGAAAGAAGCCATGGCTATTTGCGTGCTATTTTCCCCGCCGATTTTTCGGTGGCTCTGTTACGCAGCAACAACCAGCGCGCAACGTCTCACATCACGCTACCTGCACGGATGAAGGGGGGGGGGGGCAAGAGAAGTTAAAGTGTAGGTAATATGTGGGGAGTCTTGTCTGGAGGTGAGAGGTAGGCGGGATTGTCTGTGCGTAGAGTGTGTTGGGGAGGAGGAGGAGGATGAGGAGACAGAAAAATACCGATGGCGTTGACCACGAGTGGTGTTTGGAAGCGATATAAGTCGATACTCACAGTGACAACCACAGTGCGAGCTGTGTGTTGTGTAGCTCAAGTACTTGACATGTCTCGATGAACACAGCGTGGTGTGGTGCACGATGTGTGTGTGTGTGTGTGTGTGGATGTGGATGTGTGGCAGGTACGATTATCTCTTCATGAAATTCATCGTTGGCCAGTTTCGGGTAACCATCCACGGCCATTTGAGCAGACGACAGCAGCCGTAGGTGACCGCCATAGGTAACGGGCAGACCACGACGATACACTCCACCCACGGGGGCATCCCATGCCCATACCCATGGGCCACACTCCCTCCATGTCTTCCATAGACATTGCTGGCCCTGGCTCGAGCCCTGGCTCCAGCCCTGGCTCCAGCCCTGGCTCCAGCTCCAGCTCTGGCCCACTCCGTCCCCGTCCTTCGCAACCGTCCCGTATCACACCACCTGGTCCCTCTCTCGACCATGGTGATCATGACGGCAATCATGGTCTCACTCGTACTGGTCATCATCGGCATGTTGACGCATTGTTGGAGAGTGCGTGTGATGATGATGATGATGATGGTGGTGATGGCCATGGCAGTGGTGATGGTGATCGTGGTCGTGGTCGTGATCGTGGTCGTGATGATGGTGGTCGTGGTGGTGATGGTGATGGTGGTCGTGGTGGTGATCGTGGTCGTGATGATGGTGGTCGTGGTGGTGATCGTGGTCGTGGTGGTGATGGTGGTCGTGATGGTGGTCGTGGTCGTGGTCGTGGTCGTCATGCCGATCAACGTGGCGGTCATCATGCCTATGGCACCAATAGTGCTCGTCGTGCCAGGCGTCCTGCTCGTCGCCAACATCCCAGGCCCGCTGCCAACCTGGTTAGTCATCGCGTCCATCCAGCGCTCGCAGCCACACGGGCAGCCAAATGGGAGACTGCTCGTGCTCATCTGGCCGGCCCCGGAGTCTCCTCCAAGCTGTGCGATACCATCTTGCTCACTATGATCCCCCCGCGGGCTTCCCCGCCACATCGCAGTTGGCTGCGCTTGCTGGTGGCGGTCGTGCTGGAGCGGCCAGGCGCGTCAATGCCGGCGGCCAAGGCGAGGGTCACGCCGCCGTGGGCGGCTGGCGAGTCGGCATTGCTGGCGGCAGCCAACGCCGGATGCGTCGAGGCTGTCCGCGTCCTCGTCGAGGCTGGAGGCGTCCGCCGATCTGTAGCCGCCGATGCCGCTCTCACCGCCATCGTCACCGGCCCACACATCGACATCCTTGCGCTGCTGGCGCTCACCGACGGCGTGGTGTTCACGACTCGCCACGTCGCGGCTGCGCTTGACGCCTTGCCTGCGCTCGAAGTTCTGCTCATGGTCGCTGATGACCACGGGCTTGATCTCCGCCACGCGCTCGCGCTTGCCATCGACGCAAGCAACGCTCCGGCCGTCGCCGTCCTCCTCGACGCGCCTTCCCTCTCTGATATTTCCTTTCACGCTCATGGCCCTCTCCGGCGCGCCCTCGCACGCCGGCAGAGCCCTGACGCTCCGGCAGACGCTGCGGAGGCGGTAGTCGACCTCCTCGTGGCCCACTCTGCCAGCCCAGCGCCAGCTGTCGTCACTGTTTACGAACCAGCTCTCCTGACTTTGTAAAACCACGCCGTAGACGGTCACGAGCCGCGGCGCTTAGCATGGACGAGCGCGTAGATGCGACGGTCAAACTGCGCCTGCGACCGGAGCGAGGCCTCGGGCGACCACTCGGAGCCTAGCTGGAGCGGCGGAGGCTGGGCGACTGGTGAAAAGGCCGCGGCCGGGGAGCGCCCGCGACTTGGCGCGCGTGGCGAGAGCACCGCCTCCAGGCCGGCGTCGACAGCACGGGCCTGCTCGGCCTCGGGGCGCGCTCTCTTGGCCTTGGACTTAGTCTTGCGCCGTTCCTTCTCTTCGGCCTTGCGCTTCCGCCGCCGCTCGCGCTTGCGCTCCTTCTCATCTGCAATCCGGATGGCTGTCGTCGTGTTGGAGACCGAGCGGAGAAAGGCGTACAGTGTCTCAGCGACTTCGGCAAACGGCATGGCCTGTTCGCATAGAAACGCACCAGCTTGCGCCCACCGTGCCTGCAGCTCGGCGAGGACCGCGTCGAGCTCGCCCATTCGCGACTCGGCTGCTGTCACAAACTCCTGCAGCCTGGCTACAACTGCGAGCTCGTCGGCGCACGGACCATCGCCAGCGATCAGCAACGTCAGCAGCTCCTGGGCTGAGCTTAGCACGGCCCTGACCTTGTCAGCGTTAGCGGTGATGACACCCAGCTGCATGCCTGCGCCGCGCTTGAAGATCGGCTCCAGGTTATGCAGCGCACGCAGCTCGTCGCGGACGCCACCAGTCTCGGCTCTCTCCATGGCGCGGAGCACAAACTCGAGGAGCGTGATCGCCCGGGTGCCGGGCGATGCCTCGGACCTCGTCTCGCACACCTGGATGAGCGAGCCGAGCCGAAAGCCCGCAGCTTCGCCGCGCGCACCGAGCTTACCGTTGAGCACGTTGCAGCAGAAGAGGAGCCGGTGGAGCATGCGATGGAGCGGCGCAGAGTCAAAGATGGCAGCAAGCACCCGCTCAATCCGCTCGGCCTGGATGACGACCTCGCCGACGTCGTGCTCAAACTCATGGATGGCACCGGCCACCTGCAGCCGCTGCCGCCAGTGCGGGACCCGCGCCACCCGCACCAGTAGCCGCTCGTTGGCGGGCAGGTGAGCGAGCTCGCCGGCAAAGCCAGCTAGCACCGGGTCGAGCTCGTCGGCCTTGCCTGCAGCCTCAACAGCCTTGGCCAGCGCCTTGACGTTCTCGCGGGTGAGCACGTCTGGCGAGAGGTCGCGGAGGCCGGCAACGAGGACGTCGGTCGAGTACGCAGTCGTCAGCTTGCGGAGATTGATCTCCACATTCATGGACACGCTCGGCCCCGAGAGAACCGTCGCGCTCGGCTGTGCACGCTTGCTGCGGGACAACTTGCTATCGTCGTCGTCGTCGGAACCGCCGCTGCGCTTGCTATCGCCGGCGTCATTCGACCGCAGCGAAAAAGCTTCAACAAGCGTCTCGGGCGTGACCACCAGCTCCTCGGGTGTCACTTCCTTGCTCCACACCGACTCGTCGGCCGGTGCCTTGACCGCCTTGAGGAAGACCTTGCGCGTCCGCACATTCGGCGCCGACGAAGGGTTTGCGGCGGCATTGCCACTGGTTGCGAAAATCCCTGGCGGTGGCGGCGGGATGGTGGATGGTGGTGGCGGCGGTGGTGGCGGAGGTGGAGCAGTGGTCGGCGGCGGCGGTGGCGGCGGCGGTGGCGGCGGCGGTGGCGGAGTCGACTCCGATGCCGGCTCGGGCTCGGGCTCGGGCTTGGGCTCGTCAGCATACTTTTCCCCGCTACCAGAGCCAGAGCCGGCTCCAGAGTCGGCTCCAGAGTCGGCTCCAGAGCCGGCTCCAGAGCCGGCCCCAGAGCCGGACCCGTGACCTCTTCCACAGCCTAGACCGGCGGCGACGTCGGCCGGCACGCTCAGCACGCGCGGGTCGATGGCAGAGAGGGCGGTTGCCGGGAGGAACGGGGCCGTCGCAGGCGAGCCACTGGGCAAGATCGATTCGGAGAGGCGGGTGTAGATGGGGTCGGCGGCATGGGTGCCTGCGGTGTGGGCGGCGACCGAGCGGTCAAAGGCCTCGTCCGAGTCGTCGTCCGAAGAAAAGTCGGACCAGGCTGGGTTGGAGCTAAAGCTGACGTCGCCGCGTGCGATGAGAGGCTCGAGCTCGGCATCAACAACGCTGAGCATGCGGTCAAGAACGAGGGCAATGTTGGCGCCGGGCATCTGAGTGGCAACTGTGAGCCGCTGCAGGACGTCAAGAAAGGATACGGCGGCCTGGTTGCCATCACCGGACATTTTCCAGCGGGCAAGGAGCGCCTCGACGAGCTTGACGTGTGAGAAGCAGGGATCTGCAGAGCGGTCCGAGATATAGCGCTCAGTAAAGGTGGTGATCTGGACGCGGAGCATGTCGACCTGGCCGACAACCTCGTGGCTCGCGCGGAGCTCGGTACAGTCTGCGTCGAGGCTTAGCTCGAGGGCGCAGAGCAGGTGCTCAAAGCCCAAGTCCATAAGCTCCGACCTGAGCCGGACGCGGAGATTGATGTCGCCTGGCTGGTTGATGAGCGCGTTGACGAGGCCGAGCGCAGCCGAGGCGAGCGCGAGCTCGCTAGTCCGCGAGGCAGAGGCGGGCGCGACGGTAGCGGCATCGCGTCTCCGGGGGTCAGGACTCCTTGTCCCGAAGAAAAGTCGGACCAGGCTGGGTTGGAGCTAAAGCTGACGTCGCCGCGTGCGATGAGAGGCTCGAGCTCGGCATCAACAACGCTGAGCATGCGGTCAAGAACGAGGGCAATGTTGGCGCCGGGCATCTGAGTGGCAACTGTGAGCCGCTGCAGGACGTCAAGAAAGGATACGGCGGCCTGGTTGCCATCACCGGACATTTTCCAGCGGGCAAGGAGCGCCTCGACGAGCTTGACGTGTGAGAAGCAGGGATCTGCAGAGCGGTCCGAGATATAGCGCTCAGTAAAGGTGGTGATCTGGACGCGGAGCATGTCGACCTGGCCGACAACCTCGTGGCTCGCGCGGAGCTCGGTACAGTCTGTGTCGAGGCTTAGCTCGAGGGCGCAGAGCAGGTGCTCAAAGCCCAAGTCCATAAGCTCCGACCTGAGCCGGACGCGGAGATTGATGTCGCCTGGCTGGTTGATGAGCGCGTTGACGAGGCCGAGCGCAGCCGAGGCGAGCGCGAGCTCGCTAGTCCGCGAGGCAGAGGCGGGCGCGACGGTAGCGGCATCGCGTCTGAGCTGCCAGCGGGCGAGAGCGCCGTCGTCAACGCTGTCGATAGAGGCAAGCGCTTTGGGGACGCCGAGCATGCCGACAACAGCAACGAGCTGGGCAACAAGAATGCGAAACCGCGGCTCCTCCTCTATGACGGCACGGGCAGAAAAGGCGGAGAGGACCGAGGCATGGGCATGAGCTGCAGGCACGACGGTGACCATCATCAGCAGGTTGAGAAGCATGAATCGGAGGTCGGACGACGGCAGCGAGAGCGCGGTGACCAGCTGCTCCAGGTTCTCGGGCGGGTGCTCGGCGTGGAGATCGCCGACCAGGGCGTCGACGGCCTCGCTCGAGGTCCGGACCAGGGTGGAGAGGATGGTGACAATGTGGATGAGGATGCAGCTGGTGGGAGTGGCGGAAAACTCAAAGTTGTCGACGACCCGGGAAAAGAGGAGCACAAGCGTCTCGACGCCCGAGAGGTCGACAAGGAGCCAGCGAAAGTGGGCAGCGACGTCCGGGACGACGAGCGCGTCGGAGAAGACATCGTCTGACGGCGCCGGGCCTGAAACCAGCACGCGCTCGTCGCCTTCGACGGCCTTGCGAAGAGCCTCAACCCGGCGGAGGAGGGCTGTGGCCTGGCTCGGGCGCGGCTTGTCGCTCAGAAAGTCGAGAAATGTGCGGATGGAGACCTCGTCTGCGGCAAGGGTGATCGGGCGCTCGCGGCCGACGACAGAGCCCGAGCTTAGCGCAGGGTCTGCGGCGGGGCCAAGGCGCGAGACCGAGGCCATCGACAGCTCGGCCGCAGCGGAGCTCTCGGCCTCTGTGCCAAACAGCAGGCCGGAGAAAGCAGACGAGATGGATGAGGCAACGCTCTTGAACGACTGGGAAATGCTCGACTTGGGCACGGTGCTCAGCGGCGGCCTACGGAGCTTGGACGGTGAGCCCTGGACAGTACCCGCATCATCAACATACCTACTCTTCCCTCCAAGCGGGGCAACAGCCGTAGTCTGCGACGACGTCCGATTGACGAGATTGCGCGAGGAGGCAGGAGCATGGAGAAGTCCTTGGTCGATCTCGCTCTCGCCTTGGATGACACTCGGTGTGTGTGCTCCGTCGATGAGCTCAAAGTCTGATCCGACTCGAGAGGCAAACTCGATGGACCAAGTCTGATCACGAAAGGTGAGACCATCGAGAGCCTGACGAACCGCGGCGGCGGCGTCGGCCGTCCTCATTGTAACCTTCAGAACAGGATGGTTATAGTGTCTACTTTCGATTTCTCCATACCTAGAGATAACCTACATTCACAAGTATGACATATGTAAGTTGTAGACATATAATGGTAACCATGCCATGTGTAGCCCCTGTGGAAGGGACGCCCAACTCCGGCACGTGTGGCTGTCGCTTCGATGAACACGACCTTTCCGAGACAGTGTGCCCCCCTCCATCCCCCCACCCATACTCAAAAAATACAAGATGAACACAAACAAAGAGCATACCCTTGCTATCCTAGAGTCCATGCCCTCGGACATGACAGACTCGAGCGACACTCCTGTGATCAGTAGCGTGCGGAGCGACGACATGACCCTCGGGAGGCACAGTGAGCGAGAGCGCGTTGAGTGGCAGCGGCCGTGACGGCTCGGTTGCCGCCAACCTGTTCCCGGCTAGCTACGTGGGTGGGTCTCGACGATGACCGGGGGGGGGGCACAGATCGGCTGTGATAAGCCCATGCATGTATTAAGGAGTGTGGATGGCATGGGTGAGGGTGTTTGGGTGCGGGTGTTGTGGCCTGTGGCCGATGTGTGTGTTGGCGCCAACTGTGATCAGGCCTGATATGGGAGCCATGAGGGTAGGTCGGCCGGGAAAGGGCGAAGATCTAAAGGTAACTACATGCATATGTATCATGCAGCATGGGTGAGGGCGTGTGGTGTGCTGCAGGTGGCCGATGTGTGTGTTGGCGCCAACTGTGATCAGTTGCCCCCCCCCCCCCCCCCTCCCCGAGTCCAGGCATGGACAAGCCCACCACAGCTGGAACAGAGACAGAGACGAGAAGACAAGCCACCCGACTCTGGCGGTGTATGTCCTCTGCAAAGCCACCACGTCCGTCTTCTGCTTTGGCCTCGTCTACCTCGGTACGGGAGATTGCCCCTTGCACTTGCCCCTCCCACTTGCCCAGCGTGGCAACGGAGAGGTGCCGGCAAGAGGGCGGGCGGGAGGGAGGCAGTTGGCAGGGTGCTGGGGATGGCGATGCAGGGGAGTGGGGGGGGGGGGGGGGGGGGGAGGTGGGGGGGACA